TGCAACAGCACCCGGGCTCGGCTTCAACCTCGCTCTGACATTGGAGCAGGTGATGGGAGCAAGGAGAGGTCAGGCAGTGGGAGCAGACATCTTCAAGCCTGTGGGGACAGGGGTAGCCTTCCCAGGCCCCTGACAGTGCAGAGATGCCCGGTCTTCGGCCATGGCTTGGCCAGCTGCAGCTGTGCCTGGGGAAGGTGAAGCTTCCACCCTGTCAACTCAGGCAGGATAGGGCAGAGCTTCTGCCTGTTCCTGGCTCCTACTAGCTCTGTGGAGCATGCAGCCCCAGCCATGCCTTCCCCACTGCAGCCACTGTCATGGCAGTGGCCATTCTAGATGGGCTGCAGGTGCTATCAATATGAAGACCTAAAAAATAAATAACCAAGAGCAATCTTCTCTCTAAGGAAAAATACTGCACTTTCTAAAACTCTAAAGTTTGGAAACTTTGGGGAGAAATTTAAATACATTTAGTGCTTATTTAAAACAACTTTTAAGCCTTGAAAGTCAGTTTGTAAACACTGAAGAATGTTAATATATCTGGCCTACTCACCAAAGTATTAGTCTTGGGGTGCTAAAACAATACTGCACTATGTTCAGACAATAATCACAATCAAAAATTTGCAATGACAATTTTTCTATTATTAAAATACTTAAAAATATACCAAAGTGGAGAGATTAGTATAATATGCCTATCCCATCCAGGCACAGTGGTTCAGGCCTGTAATCCCAGCACTTTGGGAGGCAGAGGCAGGAGGAACACCTGAGATCAGGAGGCTGAGACCAGCCTGGCCAATATGGTGAAACCCTGTCTCTACTAAAAATATAAAAATTAGGCAGGTGTGTTGGCAAGCACCTGTAATCCCAGCTTCTTGGGAGGCTGAGGCAGGAGAATCACTGGAACCCAGGAGGCGGAGGTTGCAGCAGCACCAATGCACTCCAGCCTGGTGACAGAGACAGACTCCATCTAAAAAAAAAAAAAAATGCCTATCCAGCTTCAACAGTTCTTCTTAACATATAACTAATTTTGTTTCATTTTGCTTTTACTTTCCCTCCAACCTTCATTATTTTGGGACAAATTCCAGACATATTATCTCTTAAATTTTCCTCAATGTTTTTTAATGACGGACATCCAGGATGCTTCTGGTTTGGGGCTAGTATGAATACAGTTGATAAGAGGAGTCCTGAAAAGTCTTAAAACCTAAGGTTAGGTTTTAATTTCATTGCTAGGTCATGAGATGTCAGTTTATTTTTATTAAGAAACCACCAGGGCTTCTTGCAAAGTTTGTTGAGAGTACTGGATGCTCCAAACATCTTCACCAATACTCAAAGTCAGTATTTAATTTTAGCTATCCTAATAGATGGGTTCTGCTGAATTAACTTATAAACGTGTTTAATTTCTCTTGTGTTTTAAAAACAACTAAACTACATAATCCACAGACCTTATTTTAGGCTCATTTTCAAGGCAAAAAAATGTGTTTAGAACATTTTTTTAAAACTATACTAAAATAAACCAATGTGTAATTCTCTTCATGTCATTAAAAAAAAAAAGCATTTCTGCTGTAATGTGTTACATTAAGAAAGAAGCTGAAATTTCTTAACATCAAAATGCTATAATGGAAAGGTATACAGAGTACAAAACTGTGAACTTAAAAATCATAAGGCATATAAGGAAAACAGAGTTGGAACAACCACTAAAAATCTACATGGCTTTGTAAACAGAGGACAAACAAAATAATCAGCACAACTAAACTCCCTGGGGCGCGTGCACTGGAGTGCCTGTCAGATGGTGTCTTTCAGCCTTCAATCCTGAGCCACTGATTGCTTCTTCATGAGAACAGCATATGACCTCCAAAATAGTTTAGTTTTATCAAAACTAGATATCAGATGCTGGGGAAAGCTTAATTCTGCCAATCGTTTCAGCATGGGAGGCAAAACGTCTTCACAGCCTCTTCACTCAGCTGCAGCTTCGTCATCACAGCACTGCAGAAAGTGAAGCAGCTCAGGGGTCGGTCCTCTAAACCAGTCACTTCTCTTCCCAAAGGAAGGTACTGCAGGATTTTCAGTTCCTTTCTTAAAATAGTCATACTTTCTCTTTAATTGTGATGGCTTTTTTGTTCAACCCAGAACATCAAAGTGCTGGGGGAAAGTACATATGAAAAAACAAAGCAATTTCTAATTTGCATCAACATCGTTTTCTATCTGATGAGGTATGAACTGATTCCCATAAAGGAAACACATATTGCAGCAAAACAAACTGTCGGAGAAAAGCCCGTTTTCAAAAAGAAATCCAAAACTCACCGAATTTAACTCTTGCAGCATGAAACTTTGTCCAAGCTGTCTCACTTCTTGGTCAATATATCAGTATATTCTATCAGTGATTTCTACTTCATCTGAGGCTTCTTTTTTTTTTTTTAACTTTTCATAGACTGAGATAAACTTCTCTTTTCCAAATTTGACATATACAAAAATGCGGATTACTTTTTTTTTACAAAAATATGAATGAAGCAGGTAAAAAGTAATGAACAAAAAGTTGTGAGTTCAAAGGCCTCATAATCATGAATGTCATAAGGTTAATTTGCAGAATCCTAGACAGCATTCTTAGAATTAACAACAGCACTTTAAAAAATTTTAAAACATTTTAAACTGTTATTCCAACATCAGATTCTCATCAGAATACTCACGTTGCAGTTAAATCAAAGATTAGATTTAGCCCCCCCGACATCGTCATCCATTTCTCAGTGTTCATCACTGATAGTTCTTTGCGCAAATTCCCTTCCCTGTTCCAACATGTCTTGCTTAAGAGTAGCATTCTGGAACTTGATCCATTTTTAGCCTGACCTCCAGGAAGCATCTTGTATGAAAAGCCATGTGCACATCATACACAAGATGACCCCAGAATATTGTGTGGGCCCCCATGGGACGTGATGATATCACCAAGGTGGTGATGGCAGTGGCGGCAGCAGCAGCAGCAGTAAGACAGGCTCCAGATACAAAATGCAGGAGAGCTGTTTGCAGTGACTTCATCATACTCATCCTCACTTACATCCCTGAAGGGCACCTTAATACCTGTAGGACATTCCTGTACCAGGATTATGTTCAGACAACTTTACATAATTTGAAAATGCATATTCAGGGGAGAAGATGCAAACCATGTTTTATTAGAATAAACTGAAGCACGGAGGTATTTTTAATATGCTAAAAGCTGATGCTGATTGCCATTTATGCTGAAAAACAGTAAATAGTGTGCAGAGGCAAATCTGCACAAAACTAATCAGGCAGAGTGTGCACAAATTTGGGAAGAACATCTCCTCACGTTACTAAGAAAAATTCTCCATTATGATGGGTGCCACCTTCAGTACTAAAGCTGAATAATCTCTAAAAAAAAACCTGTAAATATTATTTGAAAGTTGGAATTCATATAACCATGAATTCTTAACTTTAAACGTAAAAAGGTTATGTAGGTGGGGAGTGGGCCGTGTGTGTGTGTTTTTCATTCTTTTTTGAATCAGAGTATCACAAGTCAGGAGGATCTAGTTTACAACGTCCTTTCAGTTCTCAAACCTTTACATATGTTCCTTTTATAGTTTAACTTCTTATCTTTAAATAATTTTCAGACTTACAAAAAGGTTAAGATTACCAAAAAATTTCCATTTTCCCTTAACCAAGATTCCTCAAATGTTAACACTGCAGAAGGATGCTCCTTTATCCTTAAATAGTTCAAATGTTTTTTAAAAAACAGGACATGCTCTTAAATAATTATGTACAAATTTCAAAATCAGGAAGTTAACATTCATTGACAAAATACTATGATCCAGTCTATAAACTTTATTCATATTTTTCCAATCGTCCCAACAACGTCTGTTATATCAACAGAAAATCCTGGCTTGTGAGTTCATTCAGCCTTTCATGTCTCTTTAAACTCTTTTCACCTAGAACATGTTCTCACCTTTTTTAATCTTTCATGATATTGACACTTTTGAAGCTAAAGGCCAGTCAGGTTGTAGAAATTCCTTTGTTGAAGTCTGTCTCATGTTTCCTCGGGATGAGATTCAGGTTATGCTTTCTTGGCAGGAGTTACCAGAGAAGTGACATTGGGTACTTCTAAATGTGTCCTATCAGGAGGCAGGCAGTATCAGTTTATCCCGTTAATGATGATAGGGATTTTCATCATTGGTAAAGTGATACCCGATCAGTTTCTCCACTGCAAAGTTACTATGTTCTTTTTGTAATTAATAAATATCTTATGGGGAGATACTTTTAGACTATGTCAATATCCTGTTTCCATTAATTTTTTACCTATTAGTTTTAGCATGAGTTTTTTAACTCCTTTCCAGCACTTTCTAGGTAAGTTGAGCATTAAGCTTCTTTTATCTAATCTCTACCTTAACACATGGATATCCTCTGGCTGAAGCATGGACACTGGCTGTACCATCCATTTGTTAAGTGTGGATGGTCCTCTGCAGCATGGTTAAGATCTCAGGAACACACTCATTCCAGTCTCTATGTCAAGACCACCAGAAGGAAATCAAATCCATCTTTTTCTAATATGACAACGGCAGTGTACCCTTGAAGGATATTATGCTGGCAGGTAAGAGCTGTATAATATTCCCTGTCTCCAACACAAAGGAAACAACGCAGTATTGTTACAGGGTTTTATATCAAAATTCCCTTATCTCATGGTTTAAAGAACTCATCTGGAAAAAAGTAATATATCTGTCCAGTAGCAAAAATGTACACACTACTTAAACATTTTTCTTTAAAATATTTCAATTTTTCTTAGAAAAGACACCCCTCTCCACCTCCAGTTCCCCCATAAAAGTGTTTCAGGTGAATTTTTACCCTCTGCTTTTACTCATCCACTTCCCACCACCGCCTTTAAAGATTTTTCCTCCCCTACTCAAGACCTTACATCCTAGACTGGAAGCAATCTGGAGAAATCTGTTAGAAGGTGAAGGGAGGGATGAGCGCTCTGCTAGCCCTAGATTCTATAAAACTGTCCTTACCTGCTGTGGAAAACAGGTGCGGACTGAGTGCTCTGTGTAACCAAAAGATGGCCCTTCAAAGACTGCTGTTGGGAGCTTCAGAACTTCCTTCAGAAACTGGTCAAACTTGCTAAATATCATTAAGCCATTGGAATCTGACATCTGGGAGAAAACATCTATGAGAACAAAACCAAATAAAGTCAAGCTGTAAGGAAACATCAGCTTTTATAAATGGCTCTATGTCATTTGTATACCATGCAAAAAGTACCATTAAAAAATATCATTTAAAAGGTATCATAAAATTACTGTGACTTTTAGTTACTATTAAAACTATTCTCATCCTTATTAGCACTGTGTGGCTACCCTTCAATCGAGGCCCCTCTCTTCCACTCACTTAATATTCTACCTAAATATCAAATCAAATAGCCACTCATGTATGACTATCTACCTACTCTTTTTGACTATATAAAACTGGATGATATAGAACTTTTATTTATACCTCACTTCTTTCCAAGAAGACTTTGCAGCAGCACATCTTTATCTGCTAGTATCCCCACATGAGTTTAAATGAGACATACGTATGATTGAGTATTTACCGTAGTAGCATCTTGGTAATAGGGTACAAGAGAAATTATATTATACTTGTATATTCTACACTAATGATGTAATATATGCCTGTGAAGAACACATCTGAAGGAGTCACAGAGCATATTTAAAATATTTATCTAATGAGTTCCAAAGGAGAATAAAAAGAACTCATCTAAACGCTTGTATTCCAAGACACTTTGATACTGTAAGATCCTATTTTTATATTAAGTCAGGTCAAGCAGATGAGAAAGAAGCTTCCAGTAATACTACTACAACTTTATCTTCTTGCAGGGAGCTCCTGTCTCCAATCATTCCTTTCTTCTCATCCATAATTGGGGAGTAAAAGAAAAATAACCAGGGTTTAAAAGCATTTGACAAAGAAATGTGACCTAGGCAGTTTTTCAATCCATTGAACTTCTTTACAAACAAATGAGCAAGTCAAATATGTACAGAAAAATCATTTCCTGAGAACTTTTCAAACAGCATTTTGAAGATTCATCCAGCCTGGGAATCATAGTGAAACCTCATCCCTACAAAAAAATTTTTTTAATTAGCTAGGCATAGTGGTGTGCACCTGTAGTCCCAGCTACTCAGGAGGCTGAGGTGGGAGGATTGCTTGAGCCCAGGAGGTCAAGACTATAATGAGCGGTGATCACACCACTGCACTCCAACCTGGGTGACAGAGTGAGACCTTGTCTCCAAAAAAACAAAAAAAAGGAAAAAAAAAAAGAAAATTCATATTCTATATAGTCACAATACACAGGTATAGTAGAGATCTATATCTATTTAACAGATATATGTAACATACATATATACATGACTTTTTGGGTTCAGTTTTGGGGAATTTATATTGAAGTATCAGGTGAAAAAAACATTTATAAATACACTAATTAAAGAAAGATAAAATGTTAGGTTATGGATCCACAGCATAGTTTTTAAGGCATTAGAAAAGAAGAAATTACCAAAGGAATGAAAATCTTCAGTGTGTCCTCTCATGAGAGCTACTAGTTTACAGTTGATGAAAAAATATTAAATACCCATACAGGGGAAAAAAATCCAGCAAGAGACTAAAAGATGGCCCGAGTAGAAAGTAAAATAAATTAACAAATACACATTAAGTTCCTGTTACATGGTCCAAGTGCAAGCACTCTGTGAGGTGTTTAGAAGCACAATGAAGAAACATGATAAATGATCCTTATCCCCAAGAAACTTTCAACGTAGCTGGAAAAATAAGATATACATAAAACAAAGAAGAATTTGAGCTGACTTCAAATACAACAGAAAAAACAGAGGCAAAAAGATATATGTGAAGCCCCACCACGTGCTAGGCACCACTATCAGTAACTATGCTGAGTCTGCCAGCAGCCACATTATCCTCTTCTTCCTTAGTAACTAACAGAACACTAATTTGATGTTGTGCAGGTATGTACCAACAAATAAGCCGCAAGTTCCCAGCAAGTAGTGGTCATGTGACTAAGTTCTAGCTAAAATGAGCTTGTAAGCAGAAGGGTTGAAGGGGACTTCCAGAAAACTAAGTAAAGAAACGTAACTGAGCTAAAAAGCAGGCCATTTTTTCCTTATTCCTTTCCTCCTTCATCTACCTGGAGTGCAGCTATGATAGCTGGAGCTCCAGCAGCCATCTTGGATTATGAAGTAATCCCAATCTTGATATAGAAATCACACTAGAATGGTAGGAAAAAAAAAAAAAAAAGACAAGAAACTGTGAATCCTAGAGGAACATAAAGTCACCATATTGGCCCTGGACTACCTACCTCTGGACTTCTTTTATGTAGGAGAAAATTAAATTTCAACTTTAAGATACTATTATTCTGGGTTTCTGCTCTCGTGTAAGAAATTATAATACTAAGCATTATTCTACTATTATCATTTAGAAAGGTTGACTTAAGGTCAAAAAGTTAAGAAGTCAAATCAAGTTTAAACCCACATCTAACTGACTCCAAAATAAATACCATAACACCACACTCCTTCAAAACATGATTTAGAATAGATACGAAAACACATCGGCAGGAATTGTCAAGTTCTAAAAGAAAGAAATTCAGAAGCTAGGCCTTGAAAGATAGGATCTGGAATGATGAGGTCAAAACAGGTTGAGGCTAGGCACTGGAGGGCACTAAAGAAGAGGAGAATCCAAGTCTCCGTGACAGGAATGTACAGGGTCTTACTGGCAATAAGCAGGAAATAGGGCACTGAAGAAAACATTCTATGATAGGCAACTTATATTGAGAAATAAAGAAAAATAAAGACTGAACAGGAAGAATATTTCTGTTATAAACACTGAAAGAGGGAAGCTTAAAAACTTTTAAGCAGAGATCAAATTTTTAAAGAGGTAGGTTTCAAGGAGATTAGACTGTTAATGACCGGCACACAATGAATAAAAGAAAAAGAATGGAATTGGAGACACCAGCTAGGAAACCTCATAAACAATGCACAAAGGAGGTGGGGGAGCCTGGATTACAGTGGTGACAGTGTGTGCGAGGCAGGGGAGGCCAAGTCCAAGACATTTCAATGCAAAGAACTGCAGTTGATGACAAACTAGATTACAGAACAAACGAAGTTTAAAACTTAGGATTATTCTAAGTTTCTAGCTTGGGAAAATGCTGACAATCCTGACTGACATAAACAAACTGAAGATAAACATATTACTCTTCGCTTTGGACATATCTGTTTAACTAACTAGCAAATTTTCAAATGGAATCACCCTGTAGACAGTTAGAAACAGTATTTGGCCACAGTGCTAGACTACAAATAGAGAACCTGGAAAATGTTACCGATAATATGAATAAACGGTGCTCTTTAAAGGAAGGAAGAACATAAATGATTTAACCTTTAAATAGCTGGCTGCTAGTCAGGTGTGGTGGCTCACACCTGTAATTCTAAAACTTTGGGAGGCCCAGGCAGGAGAATTGCTTGAGCCCAGGAGTTTAAGGCTAGCCTGGACAACATAGCAGGACCTCATCTCTACAAAAAATTTTTAAAAATTAGCTAGGCATGGTGGCAGGCCTGTAGTTCCAGCTACTTGGGGGACTGACTGAAGTGAGAGGACTGCTTGAGTGCAGGAGTTGGAGGCTGCAGTGAGCTATGATCATACCACTACACTCCAGCCTGGGTAACAACGCAAGACCCTATCTCAAAAATAAATAAATAGCTGGCTGCTATTCTTACAAGGAAGAAACAATCATTCATTAAATCTGAATGAAAACAAAGGGTCAACATGGGAGGTGGCAGACACCACCAGGTGCCTACTTAGTATCTTCTTCCCCTTCTTACTTTCTAGCTGAGCTTGACTGCTGGGAATGGCTGTGTGCCATTTACAAATGACTTCTCAGCCTCCTTTGTACACTGCAATGCTAGTACAGATTTCTGGAAAACCCTTTGCTTTCCTAATAGAAGCACCTCTTTCTTCCTTCTGTCTGAAGTAAGTACAGAGGCCTGGGACACAGCAGTCATCTTTTGATCCTAAGTAAGAAAGCCATATGGCAGCAGGAAGATGGGAAGATGTGAACTCTGTGATGACAACCATAAGTCAGGGTACCAACTTTGAATTTATCAGCCTTTGGATTTACTTTTACATGAGAAAAATAAGTCCTAATGTGCTCAAGCCACTGTCAGTCAAGTTTTCTATTGCCACTCTGTGTATTCATAACTGATTAACTAACGAGTAATTAACTTGCGGCCATTAATGGTGTAAATATTCAGGACCAGTGACTTTAGCTTCCAAGTACATGAATATATACACAATCACAAAAATGTGTATATATACACCCATACCAACAAATCTACACCTAACCCATTCAGAGTAATAAAAAGGACTGACTGGATAGTAAAATGACTAACCACTCCCACAAAAAGAGTATTACTTCAGTTATACTTAGTTACTATGTCATATGAATAGATTCAAAGTAATGAAAAAAAATTTTTTAATTAATAAGAAACTATAATAAGCCCATACTATAATAAGAGAAGTAGAAACATATCTATTTGTTTTAATAAGACATACTGCTAGACCCAAAAATTGAAGGCACAGTGCAGTAATTTATTACTTCTTGAGTTATTGGTTTAAAACAGTATTTTTTAATGAACAGCCTTATCTGTAAGAAAAACAATTTTAAAATGATTGCCAATTCTTAAATCTTAAATGAAGTTTAACAATCAATCTAAGTTACTGTGTTTTACCTATGTACGTATAAAAGGATCTTACCAAAGAAGTGAACAATAAAACTTAATGAAAATATTTTTTAAAAAGTAAACTAGTACTCTAATTAAATAAAGCCCTAAACCCTCCTGGCATTAAGGGACAACAGTACTTCCCAGATACCCAGTTAATTTCCCCAGTAATTCTCTTTCTATTTATACACCTCTGAAAGTATGCTAATTCCCCTATAGTTATTTCCAGCTAAAAAGGGAAGCTTTCTCCCTTGTGAAAAACCCACAATTAAGCCCTTAAACATACATGTGTACACAACTTTTAACATATTCTATAATATCTTTTGTGTGATATGCAAAATAATGCCACTGATCCACCATCATCACGTATGTTTTGATTTTTTCCTGGTGATAATGACCCTGG